CAGGCTGGTCTCGAACACTCGACCTCAGGTGATCCAACCGCCTCAGCCTCCCAAAGTGCTTGGATTACAGGCATGAGCCACTACACCTGGCCAATTATTGTATTTTTTGTAGAGATGGGGTTTCACCATGTTGGCCAGGCTGGTCTCAAATTCCTAAGCTCAAGTGATCCGCCAACCTCAGCCTCTCAAAGTGCTGGGCTTATAGGTGCGAGCCATCGCACCAGGCCATGACTATATTAAATAAAAAACCCTTGAGAGGTTTTTTATACCCCTGGGAGCCTGGAAGAGATTTTTCCCCCCTATCTTTTGCCTATAAAGATAGGACTGGCCAGGCGTGGTGACTCATACTTGTAATCCCAGCACTTTGGGAGGCCAAGGCAGGTGAATCACCTGAGGTCAGGAGTTCAAAACCAGCCTGGCCAACATGGCAAAACCCCATCTCTACTAAAAATACAAAAATTAGCTGAGCCTGGTGACACACGCCTATAATTCCAGCTACTTGGGGGGATGAGGCACAAGAACCGGTGGAACCCAGGAGGTGGAGGTTGCAGTGAGCTGAGATCATCCCATTGCACTCCAGTCTGGGCAATAAGTGTGATACTCTGTCTCAAAAAAAAGAAAATAGGACTGACTTACAAGAACAATTGTTCTTCTCCTCCTTCCTTTATCCCATTATCCATTACAGGAAAGAAGACCAAAAATGTAGCCATAAAAAGAGTCTCAACATGACCCTTTTTCAAGATAATGACTGTCTCTGAGGACCATTTAAAATCCAGGGAGAACTATTTACAAGTTAATTTTTGTTCCTCGATCCAATCATTCTCCCTCTGCCCTTCGATAGAATTCCTCTTCTCCCCCTTCCCATGACCTGTTTTTAACAGAATCCAAGCCATCCATTCTTTCTGTAACTTCAAGATGGTGGATGAGCTTCCATACCTCACTGGGAAGTTGGATCTTCATTCTTAAGCCTCCCATGTATACATGTTACATACATTTGCATTCCTTTTCTCCTATTAATCAATCTGCCTTATGTCAGTGACTTTTGGCGGACTTGTAGCTTGTCACTTACATAAGGATCCTCCAGTTTACATAGTTTTGTAAATGTCAGGCCACCCTGTCCCACTAGACCACCAAAGTCCTGGAAGAGAGCTAGGATTTAACTTTTTTTTTTTTTTTTTTTTTTGAGACAGAGTCTTGCTCTGTTGCCCAGACTGGAGTGCAGTGGCTGGATCTTGGCTCACTGCCAGCTCCGCCTCCCGGGTTCAGGCCATTCTCCTGCCTCAGCCTCCTGAGTAGCTGGGACTACAGGCGCCGGCCACCTCGCCCGGCTAGTTTTTTTTTTGTATTTTTTAGTAGAGACGGGGTTTCACTGTGTTAGCCAGGATGGTCTCGATCTCCTGACCTCGTGATCCACCCGTCTCGGCCTCCCAAAGTGCTGGGATTACAGGCTTGAGCCACCGCGCCTGGCAACTTTTTTTTTTTTTCTTGAGACAGTCTTGCTCTGTCACTGAGGCTGGAGTGCAGTGGCAGGATCTCCACTCACTGCCACCTCCACTTCCCGGGTTTAAGTGATTCTCCTGCTTCAGCCTCCCGAGTAGCTAGGACTATAGGTGCCCCCCACCATACCCAGCTAATTTTTGTATTTTTAGTAGAGATGGGGTTTTACCGTATGGGCCAGGCTGGTCTTGAACTCCTGACCTCAGGTGATCTGCCCGCCTCGGCCTCCCAAAGTGCTGGGATTACAGGTGTGAGCCACATGCCCGGCCTGGCTTTTAACTTTTAATTCCTCAGAGAGCCAGGCATGGTGCTTTGCTCAGGAAGCGTTGGTTGAATTAAACCAGAGCACTTCTTGAAAAGGGAAAAGAACAGGAGTTAGAGGGAGATGGTGGGAACCCCTCTCTGGAGATGGTTCTTTAAATGAGTGGATTCTGCAGGGCGCTGTTACTCATACCTGTAATCCCAGCATTTTGGGAGGCCAAAGCAGGAGGATCACCTGAGGCCAGGAGTTCGAGACTAGTCTGGGCAACATACAGAGACCATCCCCCCATCTCCACAACAAATAAAAACTTAGCCAGGTTTGGTGGTGTGGGCCTATAGTCCCAGCTTCCCAGAGGCTGAGGCAAGAGGATACCTTAAGCCCAGGAGATTGAGGCTGCAGTGAGCTATGATGGTGCCACCGCACTACAGCCTGGGCAACAGAGTGAGACCCCATCTCAGATAAATAAACAGATAAACAAGTGGATTCTCAGCAAAACTTCTAGCCACTCACCTCATATATCCACAAGACCTTTGAGAATCCACAGTGTCTTGATGCAGTCAGTTTTCTAACAAGCTGGGGCTTCGCCTGTTTTCCCACAGATAAAAACATGCTGGAGGAAGCAGAAAGGGGCTGGCATGTGGAAAGGTGAGGACTAGCTCATCATGTCAAGACTATGAGGTTGCTCTGATCTAGAGGGTCCCCCTGCCTGGTGGCCAACGGCCAGGAAGACTCCCACTGCCCCTGGATGCCCAGAGTGGGATGTCAGCTCCATCACTTATCAACTCCTCATCTATAGGGGCATTCTCCCTGAGGCTTCTCAGAAAATAGGGCCCTCCATTTGCTCCCCATGTGCTGAGCACATGATGATAGAACCCCTCCCGACTCAGAGACCCTGGCTCCTAGCTGCCCTGCCATGACCCAGACGGTGGCCTTTGTATATTTTTTTAGACTCACCTTGACTCACCTCAGACCATAGAAACTCTCATCCCAGAGGTCACTGCAATAGTTACTCCACAACAGAGGCTTATCTGGGTAGAGGGAGGCTCCCTACCTATGGCCCAGCAGCCCTGACAGTGCAGATCACATATACCCCATGCCCCAGCACTGCCTACCACGCATGGGCTTACTTTGTACCCACCCACAGTTACCACCACATTACCTGCTCTCCAAGGTTAGGCGTGGCAGGAGAAGGTTGCTTGGACTAGCAGAAACTATGCAGTCAAGGGCAATTGGAGTCAGCATGGGCTGGGTGGGAGCCCTTGGTGGGGTGGGGAGGAGACTCCAGGTCATACCTCCTGGAGGATGTTTTAATCATTTCCAGCATGGAATGCTGTCAACCTTTGCCACAGATTCATTAGCTCTGAGTTTCTTTTCTCTGTCCCCAGCTACCCCTTACATGTCAATATGGACTTAATGATGGGAAATTCAGGCAAGTTTTTAAACATTTTATTCCCCCTGGCTCTTATCCTCAAAAATGCATGAATTTGGAGGCAGTGGCTCATGCCTGTAATGCCAACACTTTGCAAGGGTGAGGTGGGAAGATCACTTGAAGCCAGGAATTTGAGACCAGCCTGGGCAGCATAGTGAGACCCTGTTTCTACAAAAATAAATAAATAATTAAATAATAATAGTGATATGAAGCATGATTAAATAGCTGTATTTTTAAAAATGCATGAATTCGTTACCTGATTCATTCCCTGGTTCCTCTCATAGTCCTCTGTGACCTCAGTGGGAGGGTTTTGGTCTCTCTACTATTTGTAGGCTGATATACAGTACACACACACACACACACACACACACACACACACACACACACAGTGTATCTTGAGCTTTCTTTTGTGTATCTACACACACACACACATATATATAAGAAAGCTCAAAACATAGAAGCCCTTTTTCAAAAATAACTGAAAGTTTCAAACAAAGTCTTTAAGTCTCCAATTACCAATTTGCTGATATTCTTATTTAGAACCATATGTTCATCATATTGTTGCACAGGAAGACTATACCTTCATTCTTTTGCTTAAACGTATGAGTTAAAACACTTGGCCAGGCATGGTGGTTCACACCTGTAATCCCAGAGCTTTGGGAGGCCAAGACTGGCAGATCTCTTGAGCTCAGGAATTGAACACCAGCCTGGGCAACATGGAAAAACCTCGTCTCTACAAAAGATAGAAAAATTAGCCAGGCATGATGGCGTGTGCCTGTGGTCCCAGCTACTCAGGAGGCTGAGGCAGGAGGATCACATGAGCCCAAGAGGTTGAGGCTGCAGTGAGCTGTGATTATGCCACTGCACTCCAGCCTGGGAGACAGAGTGAGAACCTGTCTCAAAAAAAAAAAAAGAGAGAGAAATTTTAAAAAAGAAAACACCACCAAGGGCTGTAACTTTAAGATCATTAAATGAACTAATCACTGCATTAAAAAATGATTACTTTATGATCCTAAGAGATATGAGGCCAATACCAGGAAGGGGGTTGATTTCCCAAACCAGAGGCAGACCCTAGACTCTAACACAGTTAAGGAAAGGCCAGCAAGATGACAGTCCCCAGTACAATAGAAGTTACTGTATTTTATTTGTTGTTTTTCTTTTGTTTTGTTTTTTTAGAGATTGGGGTCTTGCTCGATTGCCCAGGCTGGAGTGCAGTGGTGGGACAATAGCTCACTGCAGCCTCCAGTTCCTGGGCTCAAGCAATCCTCCTGCCTCAGCCTCCTGAATAGCTGGGACTACAAGAGTACACCACCACACACACCAAAACAATTTTTTAAATGTTTGTGTAGAGATGGGGGTCTTGCTTTGTTGCCCAGGCTGGTCTCCAACTCCTGGCTTCAAGGGATCCTCCCACCTCAGCCTCCCAAATTGCTGAGATTACAGATGTGAGCCACCACAACCAGCTAGAACTTACTAATTTTAAAATTAAGAACTTAAAACTTGAGCAGCTAGAGCACCAAGATTTTTCTTTGTCCCCAAATAAGTACAGTTGCAGGCATAGAAAATCTGACATCTTTGCAAGAATCATCGTGGATGTAGACTCTGTCCTGTGTCTCTGGCCTGGTTTCGGGGACCAGGAGGGCAACCCCTTGCACTGCCAAGAAGCATGCCAAAGTTAATCATTGGCCCTGCTGAGTACATGGCCGATCAGGCTGTTTTTGTGTGCCTGTTTTTCTATTTTACGTAAATCACCCTGAACATGTTCGCATCAACCTACTGGTGATGCACCTTTGATCAATACATTTTAGACAAAAGTGGTTTTTGAGTCCAAAGATCAGGGCTGGGTTGACCTGAATACTGGATACAGGGCATATAAAACAGGGGCAAGGCACAGACTGATAGCAGAGCAATCACCACCAAGCCTGGAATAACTGCAAGGGCTCTGCTGACGTCTTCCTGAGGTGCCAAGGGAAACGAGGATGGAGGAAGGAATGAATGTTCTCCATGACTTTGGGATCCAGTCAACACACTACCTCCAGGTGAATTACCAAGACTCCCAGGACTGGTTCATCTTGGTGTCCGTGATTGCAGACCTCAGGAATGCCTTCTACGTCCTCTTCCCCATCTGGTTCCATCTTCAGGAAGTTGTGGGCATTAAACTCCTCTGGGTAGCGGTGATTGGAGACTGGCTCAACCTCGTCTTTAAGTGGTAAGAACCATATAGAGAGGAGATCGGCAAGAAAAAGAGGCTGGCATTCGCTCTGGAAATATCTGTCCATCAGAAGTTGCTTTCCCCCAGGCTATTCAGGAAGCCACAGGCTACTCATCCTCCCAACCCTTCTCTCTGACTTTGGATCATCTACATAAAGGGGGAAGACAGAAAAAAATCCTACCAGTGAGTTGAAAATACAGGAAAGCCTATTTCATATGGGTTAAAGCGTAGGACAGTTGAATTTCGTGAAAAGTCTGAATTATATAGGCTTTGAGCAAAGAGTTTTCTTAGTGTGAAGCAGAAGAGGTAACATAAAGAAAGATGTATGGGGCCAGGCATGGTGGCTCACACCAGTAATCCCAGCACTTTGGGAGGCCGAGGTGGGCGAATCACTCCTGGGCGAACTCAGGAGTTCAAGACCAGCCTGGGCAACACAAGGATACTCCATCTCTACAAAAACATTACGAAAATTAGCTGGGCGTGGTGGTGTGCACCTGTAGTCCCAGCTACTCAGGCAGCTGAGGTGAGAGGCGGAGGAGGTTGCAGTGAGTTGAGATCATGCCACTGCATTCCAGCCTGGGCAACAGAGTAAGACCCTGTCTCAAAAAAAAAAAAAAGATGATGTATGCTGTATGAAAAAAGGAAACAGATGATTCAACAGCCTGTTTTGTGGGGTAATGAAAAGTCACCCTGGGAACCGGGCTCCAGCCCTCATTCTACCACCCACCAACTACATGTCCTTGGCAAGTCATATCAATTATCTGAGTTTCTGTTTTATAATCTACAAATAGGTTATCTCTGGCAGCTTAATAATAATCAGAGTTAACATTTACTAAACAGTACATGCCAGGCCATGTGCTATGTGCTTTTCTGTGAGGTAGTTACTGCTATTTACAGAAATAGTAGATGCAGAGACCAAGGTGCTGAGTTAAATGATTAGGCCAACGAGGTTGGTACATGCTGAGCCAGGACGGAAGCCCAGGCAGGCAGGCTGGCTTCCGCAGCAATGCTCTTAAGAACTATGTTACATCCAGTGCTGATAAACTGACTCTTTGTTGGGGGGGAAAAAGCCCTGAGTTTTAGACAGAGTCTTGCTCTGTCACCCAGACTGTGGAGTGCAGTGGCATAATCTCGGCTTACTGCAACCTCCGCCTCCCAGGTTCAAGTGATTCTCCTGCCTTAGCCTCCTGAGTAGCTGGGATTAAAGTCACGCACCACCACACCTGGCTAATTCTTTATATTTTTTGGTAGAAACAGTGTTTCACCATGTTGGCCAGGCTGGTCTGAAACTCCTGACCTCATGCGATCCGCCCTCCTCGGCCTCCCAAAGTGCTGGGATTACAGGTGTGAGCCTCCGCACCTGCCCGGAGTTCAGAATCTTGGGCTTCATTATTTGTGTTTAAATAGATCATACAGTCAGGCGCAGTGGCTCATGCCTGTAATCCCAGTACTTTGGGAGGCCGAGGTGGGAGCACTGCCTGAGTTCAGGAGATGGAGACCAGCCTGGGCAACATGGTGAAACCCCATCTCTACTAAAAATACAAAAACTAGCTAGGTGTGATGGCACACACCTGTAGTCCCAGCTATTCAGGAGGCTGAGGTGGGAGGAGCCCAGGAGGTAGAGGTTGCAATGAGCTGAGATTTCGCCACTGCACTCCAGACTGGGTTACTGAGCCAGATCCTGTCTCAAAAAAAAAAAAAAGAAGGAAGGAAAGAAAGGAAAAAAGAGAGAGGAAGGAAGGAAGGAAGGAAGGAAGGAAGGAAGGAAGGAAGGAAGGAAGGAAGGAAGGAAGGAAGGAAATACATTCAAACAAACAGTTCAAAATGAAGTTACATACATAAGGATGTGTCATGAAACATCTCCCTCTCACACTTCTCCCCAGCCACCCAGTTCTCCCTTCTAGAGGCAACATGTGAAATCCTTCTCAAGCTACACTCTTCTTGAAGGTGTGGGCTTTGGGCAAAAGCGTTCATTCAGTAACCCCAGAAACTCGTTCTGTTTCTCCATAGGATTCTCTTTGGACAGCGTCCATACTGGTGGGTTTTGGACACCAACTACTACGGCAACACTTCTGTGCCCCTGATAAAGCAGTTCCCTGTCACCTGTGAGACTGGACCAGGTAAGCATCCCAGCCCCTGTAGAGACAGAAGCTGGGTGGACCTTGTTCATCTTTATGGATGAAACTGACCTTGAGGGCACATGAGGAAAGCCATTCCTTTGTACTTTTGTCATGCTCTTCAATTGGCACAAATTAATTCACTTCAGCAATGCTTTCCTGAATAGCACAGTAGTATTGGAAATCTGTCTGTTACAGAACCTGGGTGGAGTCCAGAGAGGTACGGGCACCCACGGGCAAAGGCTCATGAGAGTCACTGCCCTGCAGCGCTGTGTCCTGAGAAAGGAGGGGGCAGAAGCCTGAGCTCCTGGGGGTCCTTCCCAGTGGCCCGGCCCACTGGATGTGCCCTCCTGAGCTGACTGTCCAATCCCTCGCATGCCTACATTTTATTAGTTACAGCCAGATGGGTACTGTCAAATCAAATGATAGATTTCATTTTCAGTATGTAATAGGAAGCCCCCTCCCTTGCCCTAAAGTCTCAGCTGCCCTCTGAGACTAGTACCCTCTAAGGTACTAGCATCCCTTCCTCAGAGACCCTTTCCTGACCCCAAAACTAGGGAAGGTCCCTTAGTTATTCGCTCTCACAGACCATTCATTCACCTCAGAGCATTCACTCATTCAGCTGTTACTTACCAAGCACCTACTGGGAGTCTACGCTGTTCTATGTGCTAGGGATACCTCACAGACACAAAGATCCCTGCCCTTGTGGAGCTGAAATCTGAATAGAGGAGGTGAAATATACAAAAATTGTAATAAATAAGTAAACTAGGCCAGGCGTGGTGGTTCATGCCTGTAATCCCAGCACTCTCGGAGGCCAAGGTGGGTAGATCACCTGAGGTCGGGAGTTCAAGACCAGCCTGGCCAACATTGTAAAATGCTGTCTCTACTAAAAATGCAAAAATTGGTCAGGCATGATGGCACATGCCTGTAGTCTCAGCTACCTGGGAGGCTGAGGCAGGAGAACTGCTTGAACCTAGGAGGCAGAGGTTGCAGTGAACCAAGATCGGGCCACTGCACTCCAGCCTGAGTACAGAAGGAGACTCTGTCTCAAGAAAAAAGTAAACTATTAATATGTAGGATAGGCCAGGCACGGTGGCTCACACCTGTATTCCCAGCACTTTGGGAGGCTGAGGTGGGTGGATCACCTGAGGTGAGGAGTTCAAGACCAGCCTGGCCAATATGGTGAACTCTCATCACTAATAAAAAAAAATACAAAAACTTAGCCGGGTGTGGTGGCAGGCACCTGTAATCCCAGCTACCCAGGAGGCTGTGGCAGGAGAATCACTTCAACCCAGGAGGTAGAGGTTGCAGTGAGCCAAAATTGTGCCACTGCACTCCAGCCTGGGCAACAGAGAAAGATTCTGTCTCCAAAAAAAAAAAAAAAAAAAAGTTTAAATGAATTACCCAAGGTATATAATTAGTTACAGGGAAGAAGAAGGGAAGGAGGAAGGGAGGCAGAAAGGAAGGGAGGAATGAAGGGAGGGAGGCAGGGAGGGAGGAAAGAAAGCCTTTATTTATCTATGGGGTTTCCTGGAAAGCAGGCTGAAATGGAGGTTCACATGCAGGAGTTTAGATACTCTGAGGAACTATACTTGTAGAAGGGAAGGAACAGGAACAGGGCATAAGGAGAGGTCCGGTTGTGATTCTGCCTCATCCAACTCCACAGGGAGCTCTGAAGCTGGGGATGGCTCCTCAGAGTTGGCCCCAGTTGGGTCAAGGGAATCAGATCCCGGGGAGAGCGTAACCTTGATCAAGGCGACTCTCTTTAGCCCAGGGCAATGCCCGGAGAAGGCTGAGAGCAGAGAGCCATCTGCCATCACACTTTCAACAGCTACGAAATAAGTCCTGCAGTTCAGGAGGGAGGTCTGGGCGGCACATCTCAGGACCCTCTGTCTCTCAGGGTAGAGGAATTAAGAATGGGATAGGAACCAGACTGGGCATGGTGGCTCACACCTATAATCCCAACACTTTGGGAGGCCAAGGGTGGGAGGATTGCTTGAGCCCAGGTGTTCAAAACCAGCCTGGGCAAAAACAAACAAATAAACAAACACAACACATTTTAAAAATTTGCTGGGCCGGGCGCGGTGGCTCAAGCCTGTAATCCCAGCACTTTGGGAGGCCGAGACGGGCGGATCACGAGGTCAGGAGATCAAGACCATCCTGGCTAAGATGGTGAAACCCCGTCTCTACTAAAAAATACAAAAAAAACTAGCCGGGCGAGGTGGCAGGCACCTGTAGTCCCAGCTACTCGGGAGGCTGAGGCAGGAGAATGGCGTAAACCCGGGAGGCGGAGCTTGCAGTGAGCTGAGATCCGGCCACTGCACTCCAGCCTGGATGACAGAGCGAGACTCCGTCTCAAAAAAAAAAAAAAAAAATTGCTGGGTGTGGTGGTGTGCACCTGTGGTCTCAGCTACTCAAGGGGCTGAGGCGGGAGGATTGCTTGAGTCCAGGAGGTCAAGGCTGCAGTGAGCTATGATCATGGCACTGCACTGCAGCCTAGGAGACAGAGCAAGACCCCATCTCTAAAAAACAAATAAACAAACAAACAACGGAACCGGTTGCAGGCAGGGTTAGATAGCGTGGTCAGAGTAGGACTCACTGAGAATGTGAGATCTCAGTCAAGTCTTAAAGGATGTGACGGAGTAAGTTTCTGGCAGAAGAGCTATGAAGGGCTGTCTGGCCAGAGAGGATCGCCATGCAAAAGCCCTGAGGTGGGAACATGCTTGGTGTGTTTAAAGGAAAGCAATGAGGCCAGTGTAGCCAGAAGAGTGTGCAAGGTGAGAAGGAACAGAAGATGTGGAGGGCAGATCAGTTTGTAATTGTACGCCCAGTATACTAATTCTTTGTGTAATCTCCAGACTGCATTTAACTGCAAGAGCAGGGACCCTCTCTGGGTTTGCTCACCATTGTATTCCCAGAGCCTTGCACAATGCTTGGTGCATAGTAGATGGAAATTTGTTAAATAAATGACTTATGGATAACGAATAGATGGGAAGATGCGTGGATGGATTGGGGGGTAAACAGATGTATGAATGGGTAGACGGGTGGATAGGGGGATGGCTGGGTAAATGATGCGCTGTCTCCCAGATGAGGACTTTTTCACCTGTACTCATTCTCTTTCCTGCCCTTTAGGGAGCCCCTCTGGCCATGCCATGGGTACAGCAGGTGTATACTACGTGATGGTCACATCTACTCTTTCCATCTTTCGGGGAAAGAAAAAGCCGACCTACAGATTTCGGTAAGAACTCACCACTGGGGTGTAGGTGGTGGAGGGCAGGAGGCGGCTCTCTCTGTAGCTGACACACCACGTGCTCTTCCTCACATACCCCTAGCCCGCTCCCACACCTGGGCAGGCACTGATTCAGAGTTGTGGCAGTTTGGATAAGGGTGAAACTCAGAGTCACGGAATGTTTGGGCTGAAAGGGATCCAGTAGTGCAATCCCTTGATTTACAGATAAGGAAACAAGGCCCAACACCATGAAGGGACTTATAAAAATCAGGTAGTGAGGTAGCAGTAGGGCTTAAATAAAAACCCATGTCTGTACCAACCACAGAGTCGCCCACTCAGGTTAAAACAACCAGAGAAACAGAAGATATTCCTATTACAGAGAATTCCGGGTGTGCAGCCACAGTGCAAATCCTTTTTATTTTTGTTTTTGAAACGGGGTCTCGTCTGTCATCCAGGCTGAAGTGCAGTGAAACGGTAACGGCTCGCTGCAACCTCTACCTCCCAGGCTCAAGCCATCCTCCCACCTCAGCCGTCTGAGTAGCTGGGACCACAGGCCACACACCACACCCAGCTCATTTCTCGTATCTTTTTGTAGAGACAGGGTTCTGCAATGTTGCCCAGGCTCAGGCTGGTCTTGATCTCAAGCAATTGGCTTGCCTCAGCCTCCTAAAATATTGGGATTACAGGCGTGAGCCATGGTGCCAGCCCATGCAAATCCTTAATTATCAAATAGATAAAACAGGGAGGTTAAAATTCATATACACAAGGGTTCACCACTTGCCACAGGCATCTTTCTTTTTTTTTTTTTTTGAGACGGAGTCTCGCTCTGTCGCCTAGGCTGGAGTGCAGTGGCGCAATCTCGCCCCACTGCAACTTCTGCTTCCTGGGTTCAAGCTATTCTTCTGCCTCAGCCTCTCGAGTAGCTGGGACTACAGGCTCGTGCCACCACACACGGCTAATTTTTGTATTTTTAGTAGAGATGGGGTTTCACCATATTGACCAGGCTGGTCTCGAACTCCTGACCTAGTGATCCGCCCGCCTCAGCCTCCCAAAGTGTTAGGATTACAGGCGTGAGCCACCGTGCCCGGCCTACTTTTTATTATTATTATTATTATTTTTGAGATGGAGTTTCGCTCTTGTTGCCCAGGCTAGAGTGTAATGGTGCGATCTCGGTTCACTGCAACCTCCACCTCCTGGGTTCAAGCAATTCTCCTGCCTCAGCCTCTCAAGTAGCTGGGATTATAGGCATGCACCACCACACCCGGCTAATTTTGTATTTTTTTTTTAGTAGAGAAGGGGTTTCACCTGTTGATCAGGCTGGTCTCAAACTCCTGACCTCAAGTGATCCACCCACCTCGGCCTCCCAAAGTGCTGGGATTACAAGCGTGAGCCACCGTGCCTGGTCAATTTTGATTTTTTTTTAAAGATACAGGGGTCTTGCTATGTTGCCTAAACTGGTCTTGAACTCCTGGCCTCAAGTGATCCTCTCACCTTGGCCTCCCAAAGTATTGGGATTACAGGTAAGAGCCACTGCACCCAGCCCCCAACAGGCATCTTTGGGCTTTTGAGTACCGGCTTTAATTTACAAAAATTCCACTGAGAGCACCTAAGTTTGCTAGGCTCCAACATTCCTGCCGGGGCTGTTTTCTTTTCTGAAGGGTCTGCACCTGTGTTCTGTTATGGTTGCCTGTTCTGTTGCAGGTGCTTGAATGTCATTTTGTGGTTGGGATTCTGGGCTGTGCAGCTGAACGTCTGTCTGTCACGAATCTACCTTGCTGCTCATTTTCCTCATCAAGTTGTTGCTGGAGTCCTGTCAGGTATGGGCTGATCTGACTCCCTTCCTCCTCCCCCCAACCCCATTCCATTTCTCCCCCTAATGAGGACAAAATCCCAGCATTCCAGCCACATCCTGTGTGTAATCGGTACTGTGAGCATTTCTGTGGGTTCAAAGTCAAGAATGAGCAAGTTGAAATGATTAATTTCTGTAGGAGTGCCCAGATCCATAGAATGAATTGTGTAGAAGTTGCCATGCATCAAATTAACTAACCAAATTGAATTAGCTTGAAATCTCGGAGCTTTTTACAATCTTTATTTCTTACTGATCTTCAACAGGCCCTAATTTACTTTTCAGGGAATCTGCCAAATTTAACAAATTAACACGGTGTCCTAGGAAAGCTCTTTATTTAAATACATTCATTTGCAAACCTAATAGATAACTGCAGTTGATCTCTTTTATAGGTTCAGAGTTTTGAATATCTGTGTTTTCTTAGATCCAGTTAACAAGGGTAAGACAAGATTTAGGTTAAACCTAAGAAAGATTTTGTGGGAGGCACTAGAATATAAGACCTTAACAAAACTGTGGAATTTCTCCCCTGGAGATTTGTAAGAACAGAACACAGCAGCATTCAAAGAAGAATGTTGAGAACAAGGGAGATGATGGTTTCACGGTAATCACAAAAGTAACACAGCATTTAGTAGTGGGTTCTATGTTTGAGGAAGAACCTGGAAGCCATATCACATGAAAAACCTGGGAATGTTTAGGTTAGAGAGAATAACTGTGTCCAAATGTGTGACAGAGGGACTAGATTCATCATTTACTAACTCCTGCAGAAAGAACTGAGAAAATAGACAGTATTAGAGGGGGACCAGTTTCACACAGACAAGGAAGAACTATTCAGCAATCAATTCCATTCAAAGATAAAATGGACTGTTCTAGTGGGGGTGAGCTCCCTACCTCTAAGGGTACTCAAGTAGAGATAGGAGGACCTCCTGGTAGGAAATTTGCGTATGGGGGGAGAATGTACGTGATATGGCACCTCCATCTGAAAGAGTCTATGTTGAGGGCAGACTGGAGTCACACATGCGAATAAGCCAGGCGACCCTCCAATCTGCCATCTGTGATTTAATTCCACAGTCACAGAACGGATGGCATGTCACCCACTGCTCCAAACCCACCTCTAGCAAAGGTCCCAGATCCTTCCTATCTCTCACAGTAATTCTTTCTTCCACTCAGGCATTGCTGTTGCAGAAACTTTCAGCCACATCCACAGCATCTATAATGCCAGTCTCAAGAAATATTTTCTCATTACCTTCTTCCTGTTCAGCTTCGCCATCGGATTTTATCTGCTGCTTAAGGGACTGGGTGTAGACCTCCTATGGACTCTGGAGAAAGCCCAGAGGTGGTGCGAGCGGCCAGAATGGGTCCACATTGACACCACACCCTTTGCCAGCCTCCTCAAGAACCTGGGCACCCTCTTTGGCCTGGGGCTGGCTCTCAACTCCAGCATGTACAGGGAAAGCTGCAAGGGGAAACTCGGCAAGTGGCTCCCATTCCGCCTCAGCTCTATTGTAGCCTCCCTCGTCCTCCTGCACCTCTTTGACTCCTTGAAACCCCCGTCCCAAGTCGAGCTGGTCTTCTACGTCTTGTCCTTCTGCAAGAGTGCGGTAGTGCCCCTGGCATCCGTCAGTGTCATCCCCTACTGCCTCGCCCAGGTCCTGGGCCAGCCACACAAGAAGTCATTGTAAGGGATGCGGAGTCTTCAGTATTTCAAGTCAACAACTGTGCCAGGGATTGAGGGGGACTAGTATTTGAAGCAATGGGTGCTGGTATTTGGAGCAAGTGACATGCCATCCATTCTGCCATTGTGAAATTAAATCACAGATGGCAGATTGGAGGGTCGCCTGGCTTATTCCTATGTGTGACTCCAGCCTGCCCTCAGCGTAGACTCTCTCAGATGGAGGTGCCATATCACATACACCCTCCCAGCATAAGCAAGTTTCCTGCTAGGAGGTCCTCCTCTCTCTACTTGAATACTCTCACAGGTAGGGAGCTCACTCCCACTGGAACAGCCCATTTTATCTTTGAATGGTCTTCTGCCAGCCCATTTTGAGGCCGGAGGTGCTGCCAGCTCAGGTGGTCCTCTTTTACAATCCTAATCATATTGGGTGACGTTTTTGAAAAGCTAATGAAAAGCTATTGAGAAAGACCTGATGCTAGAAGTTGGGTTGTTCTGGATTTTCCCCTGAAGACTGACTTACTTGTTCTTCTGTCAGATATACAAAAGTAAGACTTCCAGGTAGGGTCAGATCACAAGCCCAGGCTGGAGATCCTAACTGAGAATTTTCTACCTGTGTTCATCCTTACCAAGAAAAGGAGAAAGGAGCTCTGAATCTGATAAGAAAAAAAGGCTACATAAGGAGGAGTTTTTAGTATGTAGCGTATCATGCAAGTGCTATGCCAAGCCATGTCTAAATGGCTTTAATTATATAATAATGCACTCTCAGTAATGGGGGACCAGCGTGAGTATAATTAATAGGTGGTTAGTGGGGTAATTCTGCTTCTAGTATTTTTTTACTGTGCATACACGGTCTTTGTATTTCCTCGGATTTCTGAATGGCTGCAGTGACCCAGATATTGCACTAGGTCCGAACATTCAGGTATAGCTGACATCTCCTCTATCACATTACATCATCCTCCTTATAACCCCCAGCTCTGCTTTTTCCGGATTTTTCCACTGGCTCCACATCCACCCCACTGGATCTTCAGATGGCTAGAGGGCAACTCTGGTGGTGCTTTTGTATGTTTCAATTAGGCTCTGAAATCTTGGGCAGAATGACAAAGGTAGGGCCAGGATTTCTCTCTCAGAGGTCACTCCAGTGTTTCTTTTGATTCCCAGAGGGTAAATATGACTCCTTTCTCTATCCCAAGCCAACCAAGAGCACATTCTTAAAGGAAAAGTCAACGCTTTCTCTATTTTTTTTTTTTTTGAGACAGGGTCTCACTACATTGCCCAGGCTGCTCTTGAATTCCTGGGCTCAAGCAATCCTCCCACCATACCGCAGCCTCCTGCATAGCTGGGACTACAGGTGCAAGCCACTATGTCCAGCTAGCCATCCTTGCCTGTTTTTCTTTTCTTTTCTTTTGAGACGGAGTCTTACTCTATCACCCAGGCTGGAGTGCAGTGGCACGATCTTGGCTCACTGCAACCTCTTCCTCCTGGTTCAAGCAATTCTCATGTCTCAGCCTCCTCAGTAGCTAGGACTACCGGCGTGCACCACCATGCCAGGCTAATTTTTATATTTTTAGAAGAGATGGGATTTCATCATGTTGGCCAGGCTGGTCTCAAACTCCTGACCTCAAGTGATCCATCTGCCTCGGCCTCCCAAGGTGCTATGATTACAGGCATGAGCCACTGCGCCCGGCCCTCCTTGCCTGTTTTTCAGTCTCAGCTGATTTGCAGAGTATTTCTTCCCCACACCGCCCCCCACCAAAAAAAAAGCTGAAGCCTATTTATTTGAAAGTCCTTGTTTTTGCTACTAATTATATAGTATACAATACATTATCATTCAAAACAACCATCCTGCTTATAACATCTTTGAAAAGAAAAATATATATGTGCAGTATTTTATTAAAGCAACATTTTATTTAAGAATGAAGTCTTGTTAATTACTATATTTTAGATGCAATGTGATCTGAAGTTTCTAATTCCGGCCCAACTAAATTTCTAGCTCTGTTTCCCTAAACGAATAATTTGGTTTCTCTGTGCCTGCATTTTCCCTTTGGAGAAGAAAAGTGCTCTATCTTGAGTTGACCAAGAGTCCCATTAGGGATAGGGAGACTTATAAAGCATCCACAGGGGCAAAGGCAGAGTCGAGCACATAAACGAAGGCCCAAAATCAGCAAAGAACCAGAAAGATTCAGAGTTGGCCAAGACTGAACATTGGCTACCAGACCACAAGTCAGCATGAGTTGCTCTATGGCATCAAATTGCAACTTGAGAGTAGATGGGCAGGGTCACTATCAAACTAAGCAATCAGGGCACACAAGTTGCAGTAACACAAGACTAGGCCAGCTCTGGCATCCAGTAACTCACTGTCAGCAAGATTTTGGGTTATAGTTCAAGAAAGTCTAAACAGAGTCAGTCACAACACCAAGGAATGCTCAAGGGAGCTATTGCAGGTTTCTCTGCTAAGATATTATTTCATCCTGGGTGCAGGGTTCTACCTCCAAAGACCTCAAATCATCACCGTATCCCTGGATTTCCTGAGGGTGAGATCTGCTATTTCACATCAGAACTCTGGAGTCTGTATATACAGGGAAGATTGCATTCTCCTACTGGATTTGGGCTCTTAGAGGGCATTGTGGGAACTAGGCCCCTCACAGAATCAAACGGTCCCATCCAGGGAGAAAGAAATAGTCTTTTTTTTTTTTTTTTTAATAGAGATGGGGGGTCTCACTACGTTGCCCAGGCTGGTCTTGAACTCCTGGGTTCAAGTGATCCTCCTGCCTCAGCCTCCCAAAGTGCTGGGATTCCAGCGTGAGCCACTGCACTTGGCCAGAAATGGTTTTGATCTGTCTGAACTGAACCCTACTGCTGAGGCACAGCCCCATCCTTGATAATCTATTTGCTTCCAAGGACCAAGTCCAAGATCCTTATAAGAGAGGTCTGCCAGAAAGTAAATACTGCCCCCACTCCCTGAAGTTTATGAGGTTGATAAGGAAACATAACAGATAAAGTTTATTGAGTGCTAACTTTATCCCAGACTCTGTTCTATGTACTTTGTTTATACAATTAACTCGCTTGGTTCTCCCAGCATCTCTGTGATTTGGCTACTGTCATTTATCCTCATATTACAAATAGGTCTGGAGGGGTTAGGCATCTTGTCCAGAATGGTGGAAATAGGTTAAGGATCAGGCAGTCTGGGCTGAGCATGGTGGCTCACACCTGCAATCCCAGCACTTTGGGAGGCTGAGGTGGCAGATCGCCTGAGGTCAGGAGTTCGAGACTAGTCTGGGCAACATGGTGAGACCCCATCTCTACCAAAAACACAAAACATTAGCCAAGCGTGGTGAGGCATGCCTGTGGTCCCAACTACTCAGGTGGCTGAGGTGGGAGGATCCACTGAGCTCAGGAGGCAGAGGTTGTAGTGAGCCGAGATTATGCCACTGCACTCCAGCCTGGGTGACAGAGTGAGACCCTGTCTCAGAAAAAAAAAAAAAAAGAAGAAGAAGCAGGCAGTCTGGGCGGGGCGCTGTGGCTCAAGCCTGTAATCCCAGATACAAAATAATCATTTTGTAATATAGCCAGCTTATTTTATTTATTTATTTAATTTATTTTGAGACTGCGAGTCTCGCTCGTCTCCCAGGCTGAGTGCAGTGACGCGATCTCGCTCACTGCAAGCTTGCCTCCCGGGTTCACCGCCATTCTCCTGCCTCAGCCTCCCGAGTAGCTGGGACTACAGGCGCCCACCACCACGCCTGGCATTTTTTGATTTTTAGTAGAGACGGGTTTCACCAGTGTTAGCCAGGATGGTCTCGACCTCCTGACCTCGTGATCCACCCCTCTCAGCCGCCAAAAGTGCTGAAAATACAGGTGTAGCCACCGTGCCGGCCTACAGCTGGCTTATTAGACAGAACAATTGTGATCACTCATCTAGTTCCCCAAGTTATAGATTTATGTCCACTTTAGAAAGGTTTGTGAGGCAAATTTAAGTGACTGATGACAGTTTTAAAGCAAGGTCCTGTCATGTTATGGCATAATATTTGGTAGAATGTTCTACCAGTGTATCAGTTTTCAGGTGTGTAGGCTTGAGAGATATAAAACACACACACAACACACACACACACACACACACACACACACACAATGCAATCTATTAATGCCAAGGAAAATAGACCCATTAAGGAAGTCAACTTGCTGCCCTGGACCCAGTGCTGCCACAGCACACACTAGACCCAAAGGCTAGGTCATTTTGTTGTTCTGAGGTCTCTTCCTATTCTATTTCTATTCCATTCGTATTCCATTCTATCCATTATTCTATTCTATTCATTCTTTTTTTTTTTTTTTTTTTTTTTTGAGGACGGAGTCTCGCTCGTGCTCCCAGTGGAGTGCAGTAGCCGATCTCGCTCACTGCAAGCTCGCCTCCCGGTTCACGGCCATTCTCCTGCCTCAGCCTCCTGAGTAGCTGGACTACAGGCGCCCACCACCACGCCGCTACTTTGTTTTGTAACTTTTTAGTAAAGGGAGACAGGGGTTCACAAGTGGTCTGCTTCTCTCTGACCGTGTGTAGGTGGACGGTGCCTTATGCGTCGGGCGCGCTTGTCGTGAGTCCGAATAGATATTGCTGGGGGACTTATAATTAGGCGGCACCGTGCTGCCAACGAAGTGAGGATCTTCAATCCTAGAATAAGAGAGACCTATGAACAACCCTATCTAACATTCTAATTCTATCCTTAATCCCTAGAGCGATGTCAGAGGATAGTTAGACAATTTACTAATAACAAGATGGACCACAGGTCGTCCACTCTTCACCCACGTGGGGGGGGGCACAATGGCAGCAATCTCAACTCACTGCAACCTCCAACTCATGGGGCTCAAAGATCCCTCCACGCCTCAGCCTCCCGAATTAGCTGGGACTACAGATCATACCAACCATGCCTGGCTAATTTTTTTATTTTTGTAGAAACGGGTCTCAAGCATCCTCCTGCCTTAGCCTCCCAAAGTGCCTGGATATACAGCAGTGAGCCACACTGCCCCAGCCCATGTTTTGTTTTTTAACCAGAGATTCGTAACACCTTTAAAAAACACCCTTTAAAACAAATGTATAACAAGGCCAGGCACGGTGGCTCATACCTGTAATCCCAGCACTTGGGAGGCCAAGCGCAGGCGGATCACCTGAGGTCAGGAGTTCAAGACCAAGCCTGGCCAACATGGTGAAACCCATCTCTACTAACAAAATACAAAAATATTAGCCAGGCAGGGTCGACACTGCCTGTAGATCCCAGCTACTCAGGAGGCTGAGGCAGGAAATCGCCTTGGACCTGGGAGCAGAGGGTTGTGGTGGACCCAGATTGCACCATTGCACTCCAAGACCTGGGCAGACAAGATGAAACTCCATCTCCAACAAAAAAAAAAAAAAAAAAAATTGTGTGACAGCTTGAGATATAATTCACAATACCATACAATTCACTCATTTAAAGTGTACAATTCAGTGGTTTTCATTCTACTCCAACCCACTCAAGCCTAGGCAACCACTAATCTACTTTCTGTCTCATAGATTTGCCTATTTGGGGCATTTCATATAAATAGACTCCTACAATATGTGGCCTTTTGTGTCTAGCCTCTTTCACTTAGCATGATGTTTTCAAGGTTTATCTGTGTTGTAACATGTATTGGTACTCCATTTCTTTTTATGGACAAGTAATATTCCATTGTATGAATATATCACATTGTATGAATATACCACATTTATCTGTTTATCAGGCCAGGCATGGTGGCTCACAT